CCGGGCCCTCGCAGACCCGGGCGGCGCTCGAGTGGTTGACGACGCGCGCCTCGCCGCGCATGGACGCAGCCTTCTCCAGCAAAGGCATGCCTGGTTTCGGGTCTATAGGGTTGAGGGTTTATAGGGTTTACAGGGTGTTTCGGGGTTCAGAGGGTTTAGGGTTTATAGGTTGTTTTCAGGGTTTAGGGTGTTTTGGGGTTTGCAGGGGTTATGGATTTAGGGTTCTCTAGGTCGCAGAGTATAATTACGCAGGCCCAAACAAAAGGCAGCTTTGTTTGGTTGAGGGGTGTATGAAAGGATCCCCACCCCAAAACATTCAGGTTCTCTAAACACCCTCTAGGGGCACCCAGTTGCGGGGGACGGGGGGTGGGGTTATCCCCTAAACTCGAAACCCTAAACCCCAAACCCCAAACCCTAAACCCTAAACCGCAGCTGCCAACCTTGGGAGTTCTAGCCGACGACTTTGCAAGGCGCTAGACCGGTATCCCTTTCAACTCTGGAGGACCCGAAGCCCTAAACCCTAAACCCTAAACCCTAAACCCTCCTCCTCCCCCGCCATAAGCTCCGAAGGTTGGCTTTTTGGTGCTCGTGGTTCTGGTTCGGCACTTGCAGGGCAATAAGACTAGAGGGTTTAGGGCTTAGGGTTTAGGGTTTAGGGTTGAGGGTTTGAGGGTTTAGGGTTTAGGGTTTAGGGTTGAGGGTTTGAGGGGGCAACAGGATGTTCAGAGCACCCAGGGTGCACAGGATGGTCAGCAGGAAGTGGGAAAGATGGTTCGTCTGAATCTGTTGGTCGTAGCCGTCCTCCACACTTGCAACAGCTCTCAGAACAGCCAGCTGGGGGTTTAGGGTTTAGGGTTTAGAGTTTAGGGTTTAGGGGTTTAGGGCTTAGGAGTTAGGGGTTTAGGGCTTAACCCTTTGAGGCAACAGCCAGCTGGGGGTTTAGGGTTTAGGGTTCAGGGTTTAGGCTTTACGGGTTTAGGGTTTAGGGCTGGAAGATTGAAATTCCAAGCGTTCGACCCTGAATCCCTTGCAAAGACCACGGATGGTCAGCAAGCATCCGCTGTACGAGCTGCATGACTTGGGATGCGCCCCCTCATGCTAGCAGTCCTCTGTAGGGTTTAGGGTTTAGGGTTTAGGGTTTAAGGACTGTTAGTAGAAGGGGGAAAATCCCAATGCATGACCATGTATGGCCCCTCACCCTCCCGACACGGTAACCGGCTCCGCAACCACGCAGCCCTGACCCTAAACCCTAAACCCTAAACCGTAAACCCTAAACCCTAAACCCCCAACAAAATCCAAATAGAGCGATTTGGCCGACGAACCCCAAACCCTAGCCCCAAAACGTTCTAGACCCTAGGGTCCCTCAGGGTTTAGGGTTTGGGCTTAGGGTTTCGACTCTCACACTCGCACAAGGCCGGCAAGGCTTCGGTTGGATCCTGTCTCTGAGTGATACCTGGGCTTAGGGTTTAGGGTTTATAGGGTTTAGGGTTTAGGCTTTACGGGTTTAGGGCTTAGGAAGTTTAGGGCTTAGCCCTTTAAGGCCGCCAAACGTGGTCCTCGGTGGCCTGGTCGTTGAAGCCCATGATGCCGGCATTGTTGCCTTAGTTGCTGAGTTCATAGCGCCCCCCCCCCCAAAAAAAGTGTACACTTTCAGTTCTCTGGGGCATTATCCCAAAAAGTAAGCCCCAAAACCCTAAACCCCTAAACCCCTAAACCCCTAAACCCCTAAACCCCCAAAACCCCTAAACCCCGAAACCCCGAAACCCCGAAACCCCGAAACCCCTAAACCCCTAAACCCCTAAACCCCTAAACCCCTAAACCCCTAAACCCCTAAACCCCTAAACCCCTAAACCCCTAAACACCTAAACCCCTAAACCCCTAAACCCCTAAACCCCTAAACCCCTAAACCCCTAAACCCCTAAACCCCTAAACCCCTAAACCCCTAAACCCTAAACCCAAAAAGTGTGCTCACTCAGCCACTAAGTTGCACAGGACATCCAAGCCGCTCTCGGCCAAGTCTGCCTGCAGCCTCTCACCTAGAGGCAGTTTTGTGGGGGGGCAGGGCACCTGGGGTAGTTTTTTTGAGGGGATTATGGGGTTCAGGCCGGTTTTTGGGCACCTTGGGGTTAGTTTTTTTGGGGATTCTCACCTGGGGTAGTTTTTTGAGGGGATTATGGGGTTTAGGCCGGTTTAGCGCACCTTGGGGTAGTTTTGGTGGATTGTGGGGTTGAGGGTTTAGGGCGCCTGGTTTTGTTTTTTGGGAGTGTAGGGTTTAGGGTTTAGGGCGCGTGGATATTTTTTGGGGGGGGATTATAGGGTTTAGGGTTTATGGATTAGGGTTTGCCGCGAGGGAGAGCTGATGAGGCATTCGGCAGAAGCTCCTGCCCAAAAAACGGGTGTCAAACGCAACGCCGAAGCCCTGTTTAGGGTTTAGGGTTTAGGGTTTAGGATTTAGGGTTTAGGAAGTGCAAAGCGCAACTCCCCGCTCCAACGAGTACCATGGGGACCAAATGAACCCCAAAAATTGGGGGTCATGTGCCCTATACTACGATAATCCCGCTTAAAGTCTATGAGCTAAAACACCCTTTTAGGGTTCGCTGCGTCCCCACAGCAGCCGTCTTTAAGATTGCTTTCCTTGGAACCTCCCTAAGCCCTAAACAAGTGGCTTGCTCGCTGGGCAGGGCCCCCTTCAAGACAGGATTATTATAATACCCTCATTCCTCCTCATATATCCTTACGCAACCATTCTCGTAAATCACCGTAGATGAGGAATCTTCAGCATTTTTTTAGGGGGGAGGGGGGGAGGGGGGGAGGGGGGCTATTTGACCCTGCATCTGCCCTGAGCCCTACACACTAAACCCTTTCATGGCTTCTCAAGCCCACCCTATAGGAATTAAAAAGGCCACCCTTTCTGGTTTCAATGGAGTTTACAAGGAAACCCTAGTTGTCCAGCACGGTGTCAGGGCTCCTACTCCACAGTACACGTGCCCCCCCGTTTCGGCCTTCAGGACACCCCCCAGTCAGACCGAAGAGGTCATGAAAGCGGGTTTAGGGTTTAGGGTTTAGCGGGGTTTAGGGTTGGGCCGAAGCCCCCCGAGGCTGAAGTTGGGGTGGTTTTTGGGTTGAGGGTTTCTGAAATCCTAAATCTGCAGCCCTAAGCCCGTTTTGCCAAACCTGAACCCTGAACCTGCTCCCTGACCCTGCATCCCAACCCAGTACCATGACTACGTGGCGAAAAACGATCCTGGCCTGGACATACGTGCTTGCAAACGGAGTCAAGGTAGTCACAGTGCGCACCCCATACACCCCGCTCACCAAGTAACTAACCAGGCCCCTCCAGTTACTTAAGCCGTACCCCCCCTCCCCCCCCCCCAAAAAAAAACAAACCCTAAACCCTAAACCCTAACCCTAAACCCTAAGCCCTAAACCCCAAACGCTTCAGCAGCCAGGACGCCGGCGGCGCGGACGCTTTTGAAGCTCATGAGGTCGCAGTCCACGGCCACGGGCTCTGGGGCATCCACGGACTTGGCGATCTCCTGGCAGAAGAATATGAATATAATGCGTATTCTAGAGATATGTACTTCTTTAATATTATTATAGTCATAGTAGTCATAAGAATCATGATATTTAATAATAATAATAATAATCATAATAATAAGAATGATGTGCATGTGTATGTGCGTGGTGTGCACTGGTACTGTATGAGTACACACACATGTGCATGTACGTATGCATGTATGTATGTACGTATGTATGTATGTATGTATGTGCATAATATGGACATGTATATGTATATGTGTATATGTACAGATATAGAAAATTGTATATTTGCCTTGCAGTAGCGTCAATTGGTTGCTGGCAACAAAGCACAGTGCGTGCATGTACTGGCAGGAATATACACGTACATATACATATACATATACATATACGTATACATATACATCTACATATACATACCAAACAGCCGTTAAACGAACTGAATGTCATGAACTACTTCTGCAAGGTTTCCCTGGCCCTGGCCTTAAACCCAAGACCTTAAACCTCTCCAAGCTGCCTGATTAAGACCTCCCAGCCTCCCAGAAGCCAGGTCACCCACAGAAACTCCACAGAAGGGTTTAGGGTTTAGGGTTTTAGGGTTTAGGGTTTAAAGTTTAGGGTTTAGGGTTTAGGGTTCAGGTCAGGTTGCTGTTTCGCGTTTGGTTTGCAGGTCCTGGATGGCTGCCAAGGCATCCGTAGCCCGTTGGGATGCCCGGTTCAGTAAGATGACTTTCGCCCCCTTCCTTACTTCTCCAGTCACCAAGCGAGAAAGGGTTTAGGGTTTAGGGAAAAAGGGTTTAGGGTTTAGGGTCTAGATAAGGAAGCCCCAAAAGTTTAAAGTTCAACTGCTGACAAGGTAAGCTTCTGGGCACAAACGCCAGCAAAAATCTTGCCGGTGCCCGAAGTACACCCTGTGATAGCCACCACCTTGCCCGTCATTCTCGGGAGGCTGGCAACCTTGGGAGCCCAGTACCCATAGTTTAGGGTTTAGGGTTTAGGGTTTAGGGTTTAGGGCTTAGGGTTTCGGGTTTAGGTAGTAAGAGTACCCTTCGGGGGGCAGGTGACTTGAAAAAGGGAACCGGGAACCCAAAAAGAGGGCGAAAGGGTACCACTCAGCTACCGAGCAACCAGGCTGCCATAGTGCTTGCTGCTGGAGCCACAGCAGCCCATGGTCAACAAGAGAATTCAAGCTAAGAGATGCTACGCTCCAGCTGATTCAACGCTGCGGTTTAGGGTTTAGGGTTTAGGGTTCCAGGCTGTTGGGTCAAACCATAGTCCCGAATCCCTCAGGCCTCATGCCCAAGCAGACACACATAGCCGATCAGCCCCCGGAAAGCGCAGGCTTAAGGCGCTAAAATCAGATCATCTGAAAGCCCAGGAACCATGTTAAAATAAGGCACCCTTGGTTACTTTAAACGGAAACCTGAAAAAAAACGAAAGGGCACCACTGAAGCCCAGGAAACTCCAACCGCTGCATCATCTTCTCGGCACGTCTGTCGAAGTCCCGGCAGATCACCTCGCGTCGTGCCCAAGCGCAGCGGGCCTCAACCCTAAACCCTAAACCCTAAACGTCCACCCTTTTGCCTCCGGACTCCTGCCTAGTCAGCCCTGAACCCCTATTCCTGAAGCGCTATTCTTGATTGCTCTTGGAACAACCGTTTAAGGCTTACCCATGAACGACTACGTAGAGCTGTGAAGAACCCTAAAACCCTAAACCCTAAAGCCTAAACCCTAAACCTGTCTGAATCCTTAACAGAGCCTTAGACACCCTAAACATACCTTTACACCGAACTCCCCCCCCCAAAAAAAAACAAATCGACAGTTTTGGCCCCTTCCAAGTACAACCAACTAGTAAGGTAATAAAGACCTACATATTTTCAAGCACAGTCTAGAACTCCGTCCACACCCAAGATACTACGCGAACCCGACACCCTCAACCCCTAGACCCTTTTGGGGTTTAGGATTTAGGGTCTAGGGTTTAGGGTTTACCCTATATCCTAAACCCGAAACCTAAGACCTAAGCCCTAAAATTCTGGTTATCTCAAAGGCGCTACTTTTCTTGCAGCGCACCGACCAGTCAAGCCACTTGGCGCACAGAACGGCGGGCCTACGCCCCTCGAATACAAGCCCCACTTCGCGGGGTCTTAGGGCTTTATGTCTCTACACCTCTACAACTCTACAACCCTAAACCCTAAACCCTAAACCCTAAACCCACTTGGGGGGGGGTTCATATTGATTCCAAAGAACCACTGAACCAGGCTTGTATTTAGGGAACCTCCAAGAGGAGACCTTATCTTGATCTGGGCCCAAGAGTAACCTAGGAATAGGCAGGGTTTAGGGTTTAGGGTTTAGGGTTTAGGGTTTAGGGTTTAGGGTTTAGGGTTTAGGGTCTAAAGGGATTCATAAGGGACCCGAAGCCAAAAACACAAGGGAATAAGGGCCTTCTCTGGGTCCTAGTCTTATGCGGAGAATAACTTCTGAACCAGCCTTGTATTGAGGGAACCCCAAGAGAGGGACTAACCCTAAGCCCTAAACCCTACACCCTAAATCCGAAACCCTAAACCCGAAACCCTAAACCCTAAACCAGAAAAAACAAGCCGAGGTCCCTACTTCGGGGATCTCGCTCGCTTAACTGAGCGTCTACAATAGCGGTCTGTTCCCTTACCGGGAGCACGCCCCTTGGGGACGTACGCACGTACGGTCCGTGACGTACTCACGGCAGGGCAGACCAGCAGTTTGCGTCGAAATCGTTTTGTGGCAGCTATGTCCAGATGAAGTATGGTCGGATATGAATGCTGCTAGATCAAGTGCGTATGACCAGATATGAGTAGATGCATAAGTGTCAGAACTGCGTTGTAAACTGTAACCTTTTTTTCTCCTCTGTTGTGCCACTGCTAGACAATTGGTTTCGACATTTTTCAATGCATGGACAGAACTCTCACAGGTTTTTTGAAGTGCACAAAAACCTGGGGACGAAACCCCTGCCCGCCGAGAAAAACGAGCTAAACACAAAACTGTCCGAATTGAACCCTGAAACCTAAACCTTTCCTTCATATGTACATAAACCTGAGTTTCGGGGGTTTCGGGTTTCATGTTTAATCTGCATGCGTAGAAAGGCTATTAAGGTCTTTAGTACATATCGTCGCTTCTGATTTGCGTGTAACTGCGCTGTCAGATGACGGTTATGACCCATACTTTTCCTGATTACAACCTATACTTTTGACTTGTCATTTCGACGCAGATTGCATGATCTGTACACTCTGCAAAAACTTGGGCCCTGATGAGTCTAAATCTTTGGACAAAGGCCTTCCTTCAAATAAATCCCAAATGCCTCCGCTTCTGGGCGCCATGGAGACGCAAGAAGGGCGGCTATGGGCCATCATTGGGATGTTCCCCCTTATGCGAATAAGTGGGAATAGAGTGCCCCCTATCATGATCCCTATACAGGACTGTAAGTATAAGGGTGGGCATCCAAAGGCCCTCAGATTGAACACAGATTATCATCGTTCGACTCTCCCTCGTCCTGGAGATCCTCCTCTACCTGAGAGGTTCAGGGTGCTGAGGTCCAAGGAAGGTTTAGGGTTTAGGGTTTAGGGTTTAGGGTTTAGGGTTTAGGGTTTAGGGTTTAGGGTTTAGGGTTTGGGGCTTACTCCAACCCTGGCGTTTTTTGTAGGGTTCTTAAGGGAGGGGGTCCAAGGGGGGAATGTAACCCAAAGGCCCCAAACCCCCCCAGCAATATTCTGCAATCCTGAAGAACCCTGAGTTCAAAATCCCAGACCCTAAACCCTGAAACCTCAACCCCTAAACGCCGAAACCCTCAACCCCATACACTCCGGAAAGCCAGAACTTAGGGTTTAGGGATTAGTTTAGGGTTTAGGGTTTAGGGTATAGGGTTTAGGGATTAGGATTTAGGGTCTAGGGCGCGTTTACCCAAAACCTTCTCTTGTTTTTTTCAGTGGCCGGGCATCACAGCTGGCCGTGTTTCCAAAAACCCTGAAACTTCACTTGCCTATGGCCATCAAGTTGCAGGCCGTCAGCCCCCTATACCCAAAACCCAAAACCCAGAACCCTGAACTCTAAACCCTAAACCCTAAACCCTTTTGCAACAGGCTTTGCAGAACAGGGTCGGACAGCTCCCACAGAAGTTGTCGCCAAGACAACTCTAGGAGTTCGGCCGCAAAAGAAACTCACTTGTAAACCCTAAACCCTAAACCCTTAACCCTGCACCACCTTAAGCTGTTGGGGCCTTCTGGGTCTCGTCGGTCCTTTGGGTTTCTTGGGGTTGAGGGCTTTAGGAGTTCAGGGTTCCGAAACCCCAAATCCTAGCCTTAACCCTAAACCTGAACCTGCAACCCCTTTTGCAACTGGGTTGGGGGCGAGCCAGATCTGCAAGCCACAAATCCTGCTGACTCAGGTCTCCACAGCACAAAGGCTAGAACTCATGGAGCCTTTAACCCTAAACCCTAGCCCTAAACCCTAAACCCTAAACCCTAAACCGTAACCCTAAACCCCAAACTCACGTTCTCCCGCGAAGCCTTCACGATGGCTCCATCCTGTTCTTCGTCCTCTTTGCCGTCTTTGCCATGGCCCTCACCTCGACTTTAGGAAGTACCACGAACCCTCCAAGTACTTGGAAACTGGGGTTTATCGCTCACTCTCGCACAAGGCAGGCAAGGCCCGTTGGTCTGGGTAGGGTCTGTGGATTAGGGTTCGGGGTTTAGGTTTTTTTCGGTTTAGGGTTTCAGGTACTTGCAGGTAGACCAGTAGTCATGGCAAAAGCCACGGGATTCGCGTACTACCATCCGTAACGGCGGCAGATACCACGCACTGCGGCACGCTTCGCACGAGTCCGAAACCCTACACCCAGTAAGCCCTATAGGTACAAGTCCCCTCTTGAATCCTGTGAACCAGTAGGGTCTAGGGTTCCGGGTTTAGGGTAACTCCAAACCCTACGGAACCTTAAGCGCAAATTCATGGGCCGACAATAAGCCCTAAGTCCTAAACCCTAAACCCTAAACCCTAAAAACCCTAAACCGAACCCTGAACCCAAAGTTCCCCGCACTTTGGGCCAAGCCTCAGCTCCACATGGGCCTTCAAACATCTCCCGGGTCAAGGGTCTAGGGACCCTTTTGAAGCACTGAGGAGGTTTAGGGTTTAGGGTTTAGGGTTTAGGGTTTAGGGTTTAGGGTTTAGGGTTTAGGGTGGCTGCCGGCCCCTAAACCCTAAACCCTAAGCCCCCAGTCTGGGCAACCTGGGCTCTTATACCTAACTTATACACCCCAAACCCGAAACCCTAAGCCCTAAACCCCAAACCCCCAAACCGAAACGCCCGAACCTTCTAAACCCTGAGCCCCGAACAAAAAAAACACCCTACACCCCAAACCAGCAAAAAACAAACCCCAGACACTTTAAGAAAAACACAAACAAACTAAATCCAAACCCTGAAACAACAAAGCCTGAAACCCCACACCCTAACTGCGAAACGAAGGGACTTCCGAAGATTCGCGTCAATGAGCTCCCCAGCGACGTCGCGCTGGCCTGGGCAGGGGTTGGGCTTTGGAGTTTGGGGTTTGATGCCCTCAGCCCTACAACGAAAAAAAAACCTTGAAACCCCAATTCCCGAAGTTTGGGGCATGGGGTTAGGCTTTCCGCGTTTGGGCTTGGTTTTGAAAGACGTTGGCTTTCAGGCTTTTGGGTCTTTCGTGCGCTAAGGATCGGCAGGGCTTATTGGGTTTGTAGGTGTTATAGGGTTGATTGGGCTGAAAGGGAGACAGGGATGGGTTTCCGGTGTTTAAGAAGTCGTCTACAAAGGCTGCTATAAGTGTTTATGGGTTGCGTAAGGGTTCTCTAAAGGGGTGTATGGGTATATAGGGTAGGGGAAACAGCTCACCTGAAATTGGCCACGACTTCTGGCAAGCTGCTGCATGTGGCAGCGCCCGGTTGCCAGCCTCGCGGATACTCTGCACCATCGACACCAGCACGTCCTGGCGCAAACCATATTAGGGAATCCTGTACTGACCCTAAACCCTAAACCCTAGTTGCTACTTGCTACCCAGAACGAGGCTCAAATTAAAGCCCGTGGATTGTGCGTGTTAAGAGACTTTTGCTGCGGGGTTGAGCAATTTTAGCGCCGGATCCGTGAGCCCTAAACACAAAGACCTGGTAGTTCAGGTGGGGACTGTAGGATCCCGTCGCGACCATGAAACCAAAACATCAAAAGGGTTTCGGGCTTAGGGTTGAAACCCTTGAAATCATGAAAGAAGCCCCAGCGGCCCCTAGCAAAAACCAGGCGAGCTCCCCCCCCCTCCAAGAAGTAGATCCTAAACCCTAGACCGTTTCTTAATCTAGGACTGCTGAGGCTATGGCCTAAGGTGCGAAAGCAAGTTGGCAAACGTGTAGGGCAGCAGCTATTCAGCTAGCCTACGAACAAGTGCATCATACTGAGGCCAAAGAGCCAACGCACACCCAACTCAGAATACATGTGAACGGCAACAGAGTCAGCCTCCAGCACGAGGA